ATTAGTCTCTCCCCAATCCCCAACCAGCCTCCTACCTACTCCTTTTTGCCCTTCACAGTCTTGAACATAAATCCTAACTTTAACCCTAAGCCTAACCCTATTTTTCCTCTCATGAACTTTATGTTCCAGCCAAATTGGACTACTAGTTATTTCCCATGTTTGATATTCCATTTTCACCTCTGTAGTCACATAAGCTATCCTCTGAGCCTAGCAAGTAATATAACTTCTGTTTGCCTCAGTTTGCTCATCTGTAAAATGAGGGTAATCATAGCACCTATCTCTCAGGGTTGTTATAAGGATCAAATGAGATAGCAATTTTAAAGTGCTCAGTCCAGTGACTGGAACATAGCAAGTACTTCTCATCTTTACTTTTCAGAAATCCTTATCTTCTTTCAATTCTCAGCTCAAATGTCATCTCCCCTGTAATGTCTTCCCTGATCATTGCAGTTAGTATTTTCTTCCTCCTCAATCTTCTTTGTACTATACATGTTTGTTTACATGTTGTATTTCCCAGATGAACGTAAGTTCTTTGAGGGCAGGGGCTATTTTTTTTCCTTTATGTCTCTAGTATCTAGTATAGCGATTTGCATATTGTAGGTACTTGAGGAAATGGTTGTTGAGTTGAATTGTCTCATTCACATTAAGGTATATGTACATAGGTGATGAGGCTTAGTGAAATATCTTTCTGGGGAATGAGCATTGGCTTATTTCTAAAAGGCTGAATCTCTAACATTATTCTGAGAGGCTTTGTTGCATTTAATGTAGCCTCTTGCAGACCCACTGGGAACTTTCTCCTCTTCTTGCCTTGACTTGATGATTACCATGCCTGAAGCTCTGGTTACAATCCTTTCTCTAACTCCCCTTTGCCTTTCCTTCTCCCACCTCCCACTTTGGAAATGTTAGGAGGAACAGTTCTGTGCTAGGGTCCTTGTCTTGCTGTCCCCGTCTCCCCTCTCCATCTTCAGATGAAATATCTGGTATCTCAGATTAAGCCACATTCCCTTTTGTAAGTTAAAATGCAGTTGAATGTGTGGTTGAACTCTTCTGCAAAGCCCTCTAACATCCTTCCCTCCCCCAACACCTGCAGCTGCTTCTTATTGGGAAAGAAGGCTGTTCAGAGCCATTAAGACCATGGTCAACTCTGATCTGAGTTACACAGAATTAACAGGCTGCTTCTTTAATAGGAACAAAATAAGCTGCCTTTTTCTGTCTTTGAAAGTCATGAAGGATAAGCTCCTGAAGTCTGACTGCCTTGTAAGTGATTTCTAATGGGTTAATTGTCTTGTTTATTTTGCCTAGTTCAAAGCACACTTCGTGTCCAATACATTCTACACTGTGACACTCAACTTCTGTTTTCAATTCGAGGAGTATAGATATACTTATTAGAGCAGTTCAGAGGAGAAAGTGATCATTGAAGTCTAGATCAATCAATGAATCCATTAGCAAGAATTTATTAAGCACTAACCTACCTAAGTGGCAGGGTGGATAGAGTGCTGGACTTGGAATCAGGAAGATCTGAGTTCAAATCCCACCTCAGACAACTTCTCTCAGCCTCAGATTCCTACTTTGTAAAGTGAGGATCATAATAGCACCTACTCACAGCGTTGTTGTGAGGATCAAGTGAGCCTCCTTCCTGTTCCTCACACTCTGAGGATTTCCAGCAGTTGTTCCTCATGCCTGGAATGTTCTCCTTATCCATCCCTGCCTCCTAGCTTCCCTGGCTTCCCTCATTCTGTAAGAAGCCATGCCTGCTGCTCCTTAATCAAAGCGCCTTGCCTCTAAGACTACTCCTAAATTATTCTGTGCCTATCATGTTGGGACATAGTAGTTTGCATATTGTTTGCTTGAGAGTAGTGACTGGTTTTTGTTTTTGTTTTTATCTTTACATTTTTATGTATCCATAGCACTTAGCACAGTGCCTGGCACATAGTAAATGTGCACACAGTATTATGTTTAATAAACGCTAGCTGACTGACTGAAAGTACTTTGCAAAACTTAAAGTGTAAATAAATGTTCTATATCATTATTGCCATCATTTTTATTATTGTTATTATTAACTACTATGGGCCAGGCATTGAAGAAAGGCTACATAGAAAAGGTGAGACTGAAGTTGGCCCTTGAAGGAAAGGCCTTTGAACTTTCAAGGTGATCCTTTTACCTTTGAATAGATATACCTATGTTTCCCCCTAAAGGGTATGTTTCTGCAGATGGGCCATGGTATTTGTACCATCATTTTAACAAAAATTTATTGAATAGCTAGTAGGCACAGGGCACTAAGCTAGGCAATAGAGGGACATAGAAGTACAAAACACCACCCATTCTTTTGAAGTGATTATATCCTAGTTGGTAAGACATGCTGTAAGCATGATAATACTTCATATGCATATGCATATACATATACATATACATATACATATACATATACATATACATATACATATACATATGCATATGCATATGCATATACATATACATATATATATACATATACATATACATATATATATTTGTGAGGCAACTGGGTTTAAGTGACTTGCCCAGGGTCACACAGCTAGTAAATGTCAAGTGTGTGGTCTGAGACCAGATTTGAACTCAGGTCCTCCTGACTCCAGGACCTGTGCTCTATCCATAATATTTTATATTTATGTAGTAGCACTTTAAGTTTTGCAAAACATTGTTCTAATCACCTAGTGAAGTGGGTAGTACAATTTTTATTATTCTCATTTTACAGATTGGGAAGCTGGCTATATGAGAGGTTCACTTACTTGCCCATGATCTCAGAACCAGTGAGTATCAGTGATAGGGTTTGAAATTGTCTGCTGACTCAAATGCCAGCATGCTATACTGTGTATTCTATGTCCATTAAATGTGATAAAATTGAGTAGTATGAATAAGACCTGCTATAGGAATTGAGAGGAGAAAGTGATCGCTGAGGATCAAGGCCAATCAATTAATCAATTAACAAATGGTGAACCTGGTATTTGATGAAGGCTTCACGGAGAAGGCAGAACTTGAGCTGGCTGTCAACAACAACAACAAAGGAAGGGTAGTGCTTAGATAAGTGAAGAGAAGAAAAGTGAGCGTTTCAGATGAGAGGCTAAGCATGACCAGAGATGTGGAAACAGGACTATGCATTACATGTTGAAGCACTGATGAATAATTGGTTGTAATATAGCGTATATGTAGGCCAACGAGGGAATGGGTGTAAGATCTAGGTAGGGGCCAGTCTGTGGAGGACCTTGAAAGACAGGCTAAGGAATTTGGACTCTATTTGCTAGATAAGGAGGGTCCAAAGATCAGTGCATTTGTGTGTTAGGTAATTAGAGGGAGTATGTGGAGTTTTAAGGTTGGTCAGAGTAAAGTGTGTGGATGGAGAGCAGCAATCAATCTCCTTTTGTAGGGTGGTTATCTGTAATAATAATAGCAATAATAGCTTTTCCCTCCTTCCTTTCTTCCTTCCTTCCTTCCTTCCTTCCTTTTCCCTTTCTCCTTTCCTCCTTTCTCTCTGTCCACATAGGGTATCATACCGTTACCTGAGGGTGCTCTTCCCAAAGGAATGTAAATTTTGATCACTGAAAACTTGCAAGATATCTTGGGCTTTACCAACTAGATGCCCATGCTTTAAATCCAGATCATTCTGGCTCTCATTTATTGGCCAATAACAGGTCCTAGCCCAAGCCTCACTTGGTCATTGTTTGGGTCCTGATGGCTCAGAGTGAGTGTAAATAGCAATTGTTTCTGCAAACTAGGTAAAAGAGGCCATTCTTTGCCTCATTTCTTACCCAACCTTAATCACTGAATAGATGTTGCCTCAATCAGACTGAGACCTGGGAAAGACCTTAACTTAAAAAAGGCCAAGGTCTCTCACTGTATCCAGGACCATCTCCAATTTTCCTGATCTATATCTGGGATCTAGATGGATTCAGAGGAGAGAGTGAGGCTGGTGACTTTGCACAGCCCTGCCTCACTTAAATCCAATTCACTTGCAGGTCACCTTGCTGATGTCATGGTCTCTTTGAGAATAAAGACAAGCAACAGCAATGATAGCTAGCATTCATGTGGTGCTTTTATAACTATTTTCTCATTTGATTCTTATAACAATCCTGAGAGTAGGTGTTATTATCTGCATTTTATAGATGAGGATGCAAAGGCAGACAGAGGTGAAGTCATTTGTTCTGGTCACACAGCTAGTGTCTGAGGCAGGATTGGAACTCAGTCTTTCTGACTGCAGGTCCAGTCTTCTATCTGCAGCATCACCAAAGGTAATTGGTTGCCAAAGGTAATAGTATGTATATGTGTATGTATCTACATCTATGTATCTATCTATCTATCTATCTACATACTTACATTTTTATACACACATATATGTGTGTATAAATATTGTATGTGTATATCTGTATTATGCAATGTTTGTACCTATACATGTATACTATTGCACATACATATATGCATGTCTATATCTATGTATGTTTATATATAAGTGCTATATATGTATATGGACAGGTAGGTAGCTCAGCAGATGGAGTTCTGGATATGGAGTCAGGAAGACTCATCTTCCTGAGCTTGAATCTGGCTGCAGACCCTTACTAGCTAAGTGACCTTGAGCAAGTCACTTAATCTGTTTGCCTCAGTTTCCCCATTTATAAAATGAGCTGGAGAAGGAAATGGAAAATCACTCTAGTATCTTTGCCAAGAAAACTCCAAATGGGGTCACAAATAGTTGGACATGACTGAAAAACAACTCTGTGTGTGTGTGTGTATACACATATATGTATATATCATATATCTACCACAAATATGTATGTATATCTGTAATATACACATAGATATGCATATTATGCACATGTACATGGTACTTTAGGCTTTGTACAAGATTTGGGACAGACTCAAATTATTCCCAGAAGCCTTTTCAGAGACTTTGTGCTATGCAGTAACCATTGACCTTTCATGGTACTCTCCATCTCAGAACTAATGAACAAGGGTGAAAGGGTAGCTACTTACAGAATGACTGGTCCATTGGCTCCTTGGAAAATGTCATTAGGTAAGTCTTCCAGGTTAATATTGTCACTAAGGTTCCTGCAGAGGGTTGAGCAGAGAAAAAGCAGATCAGATGAATATCAATAAACAGCATTGCCTGAAGAACCATTTCCCTCTAAGTGATCTGGACTCCGGGGTAAGCCTACTCACAGCTCATCCAGTTGGGTTCCATTGAATGCCTGGTTCCGTATCTCTTGGATCCCATTCTTATTCAGCCATCTGCAATAAAGTAAGCATTTAAAAACCAATAATGAGATTCTTCCTATTCACAGGCCTTTCAAGTGAGACAGAGGCTTCAGTCTTGGAAGCTCAGGGGCAAGATCAGACGGCTGCAATTAGAGGCATAAATAAAAAGATGCCCTCAGGTGCAGCAGCATCACAAGAGCAGTTGGCATTTGTAAGGTGGTGGGCACTGTTGTTCTGGCTCTATTGTATTATACATGCAGAGGGTGTGCCTGCCATGTGAGGTGCTGAGAGACATCCTTAGCTATTGACTTAGAGCATTGAGGAGATGATTAAAAATTATTTTGCTTATATTTTCCCTCATTGCCTCATTCCTCTCACTCATGATAAAGCCAGGCAACAGACCTATCTGTGGGGAAAAGGAGGAATAATTTAAGTAAACTGTCGGATAAGCTGCAAGTCCCCCCCCCCATTCTTCTTTACCCCTCAGTCCTTAGCCAAAGGTCCTGTCCCAGTGACCTGTTTTTTAGGGTCTGGGGGAGAGACTCTGGGTTAAGCCAAGAAAAGAAGTGAAATTAATTTACAGAATAGGGTGAAGTGAGGGATGGGTGTTTGGGGGCGGGGAGGATGAGGAGGGATAGGAAGATTTTGACTGTGCTAACAAGATGAGCCTGAGTTTTGGAGGCAAGGGTGACTAAGGGTTTATCAGCCGCCTTTATCATACCTCTCTGCATCTAGGCTGATGTGAAAATGATCTGGAAATATCAGGACATAGATTAACCTAAATATCTTCTTTGTCCCAACCCTGTTCCCCTTGCTTAATCATCAATTCCATCTCTCAGTCATGCTTTACTGATCAATAAAAAATCAAACTTGTATGAAGGATGACCCTCAAGAAGCTCATTTGTTTTCAAGATGCTGCCTTCTACCTGGGCTACTCTGAGCAGTCAGAAATGCTGAAAATCGATGTAACCCTGGGCAAGTCACTTAATCCCACTTGCCTTCCTGTCCGCCTCACCCCCCCCAAAAAAAAAATAGAAAAGAAAAAAATGCTGAAAATCAAGGAACTCTCTCTTCTGGGCCAATTAAGAGAGAAAGCATGCTGTGGTAGAAACAATTACAGATTCAATGCTGAATGGGACCTTATAGAACTTTTAGTGCACCCCTCTTATTTTACATGTAATGAGGGTCTGATCCAGGTGCAGCCTCCACTATCTTCCTAAGATGGTATCTTCACGTGGAGGACTTTAGGAAGCTGTTTGCAAGAAAGGTGTGTCGACTGAAGCATGCTTGGACATTCTGTAACCGGTTCCAGGCAGTCTACCACGTTGGTAGGAGCTTTGTTCTATTGGATGCATACCTGAAACTGTGCTCTTCAAAAGGGCCTGAGGCAGCATTGGCCAAGTTTCTCTTTGCTGTTTTCACCTCTGGGGAAGGAGATTGCACCTTCATTCACAGGGTCTGGTAAGACCCATCAATTAAGAGGAAGAGCCATGAGATCTTCCTTTTCTCAGGCTATATGTGCCACTCCCCCCCCCCAAAAAAAAATAACAACCCAACAACAAACAACAAAAATGAAAAACAAAACCAGACCTTGTTGGATTTTTCTCAATTCTTTTCTGTTTCAGAGAGTAGAGTTTCAAAGACTGGGAATGTGAGACACAAGGGACCAGAAATCCAGTAATCTAGGTGCCCTGAGAAGCAAGGAGCAGTCCTCTGGAATGAAATTTGGGAATCCACCCCAGAAGAAGATGGCAGCCTATCTTTGGACATGAAATTGGTAGGATCACTGCTATGCAGGATCTGAACTAGGTTTCAAATAGAATCCATTCCCCCTCCCAGAGAAAGAGGACATGTAGGGGAAGATTATGACCACAAAGTGTTGGAGAACTTGTGTATATGTCTACTATTAATATATCTTTGAAGTAAATATTCCTTTGTAAAAATTATCTGAGGTTAAGCTCACAAATGGAATTAGGGTACTAGTCCATAGTTGGGGAACATAGCTGATGATGGCTCAAACCATTGAAAAATAAAATTCCCCAACCCCTTCAGGATATAGAAGGAGATCTAATAGTTTAGACCCTGAGAGAGTAGAGCTAGAGTGTACCATGCCACATAAGATGAGGAAGCTGAGGCCTAGGTCATGACAAAGGGAGAACTGCTCTTTACATACTAAACCCAGGGCATCTTCCCATTGTATCCCCATGCTACTAACTGGATTGGAATGGGAGCTACTTATTGCTCACTTCCTTTCTCTAGGCTTCAGTTCTCTCCTCTGTAAAATGAAGGGGTTGGACTAGATTTCTAAAGCCTATTCCTAATCTAAATTATACTATGGTCATTAGAGTCCTTGAGGGGCAGTGCATAGGGTATTAGATTTGGAATCAGAGGAACTGAGTTCAAATTCTGACCCTACCACTTACTACCTATGTGACCTTGGGCAAATCATTTCACCTCTCTTGGCCTCAATTTCCTTATCTATAAAATGAAAGAGTTAGATAAGATGACCCATTAAGGTCCTTTCCAGTTCTAAATTGATTATCCTTTGATCTGGATGAGTAAGGTGAAGGTAAGTTGAACCTAAAAAGAAACTCATTAACGAAGATTTTTAAGGAATCTTTGAACATTCTGAAAGTAAATTATTGAGTTCATTAGTATCATTCACCACCTCCTAATAGATAGAAAAATCAGAAGCAGGGTGCAACTTACTTTTTGAGACATTGTGGCAAATTAGCCAGTTTGCCCATCCAAAGGGAGCCAGATATTCCCTAGCGTGTAAATTAGGCATTAGCTCTTTCAAACCACTAGAGCAGAAAAGCAATAACTTGCTAAAATATACACCCATGACCTAAGACAATTACAACCAGGGAGTACTTTATGGCTCAGGAGACTCTGAATTAGTGGGCTACACCAAGTCTTTGTTGCCGTGTGGTGGTCATTGACCCAACAATATAGCAGTAGGTTTTTTTTTTTAAATGAGATGTAGCTCTCTAAAGGTACCAGCCTTCACCTAAGATGAGAATGCTTGCTGGAAAAGCTGCCTTATGCCACCTTTTAGGGATAGAGGTGATCTGGCAGTAGGCTGAAAGTGAGACCAATCTGCTAGGAAAATGCCCTGGATACTTTTTCTAATCCCTAAAGACTGTTTCTAGGAGGCCTTAAGCCACTTAGCTTAGCATTCCTTGGGACTCTGTGGTATAATCTTCACCTTTTCCCATACAGGATCTCTCACTGTAAGGGAGGAAAAAAAACCCTCTTCCTTTTAGTTCTTATCTCCAGTTAGTTTCTCCTCTTCTCAAGCTGGGATGAAAAACAACTGTGATTGTATTTGTGGCCAGGCTGGCATTGTCAAAGGGCTATAAAACAACAAATGGCATTAAGGAAAAGGAAGAAGTTTTAGAGATGCAAGGATGGAAACGTATTCAGCCCCTTCAAGCAAATTATAATCCAATAGGAGGGATAGGATAGGTGCATAAATAAATGATAACTAAAAGTCAAATGTGATGAGAGTAGAGGAGAGGTCTTGTCGAAGTGCTATGAAGATTTGGGGAGATGGAGAGGTTATTTTCAATAGAGTAGGGGAGAGGGTAGACTTAGAAAGGCTCCATAGAAAAGGTGATACCTGAGCTTGGCATTGAAGAGAGAAAAGGATTTGAATGGGAAGTTGAGGAAACTGAGGCAGACAGAATTTCTGTGGTTTGCCCACGGTTACACAGCTAGTGAGTATCTGAGAACAAATTTGAACTCAGGTCTTCACTGTCTGCTCAAAGGCATGATTATATGATGAAATGTGGAGTTTAAAGAATTGTAAATAGGTCAGTTTGTTTGGAACATGGTGAGAGAAAGTGGAGGGATAAAAAGCTGGGCCAGAGACATCGTGGGAGGATTTAAATGCTAGGCTGACTACTTTGTATTTGTTTTATCCCAGAAGTAATAGAGAGCCATTGAAGATTTTAGAGGATATATTTAGTCCTGTGTCTTTTGAATAATAATCTGTCAGTTTGGAAAATGGATTAGACAGGGCAGCAATTGGGAAACAGAGAGACTATTTAGGCTACTGCAACAGTCCAAGCTAAGATCTGCTATCTACACCCTTGTTCTATTTCATCGTTCTTTTTCTAAAAGTCACTAGAACCTTGGGTTCTAAGACAGAGATAGAAAAGAGTTTCCTCACTAGTATAATTGCAAAGTCCAGGCTATGATCATACTTTGTTAGACAACCTTATCATTCTCCCAAAAATTCTCACTAAGCTCCTAGCTGAGCCTCTTCCTTTCATAGATTCTAAGGACTCCAGAGACTGCTTAGGTTGCAGATGCTCCATGGCCCTGAGGGATCCATAAGGAGCAGGTTATTTACAAATCTGGCCCCTGGCATAGTGGATTAGAAGGTGGTTTGTTATTAACACCATAGGAAAGACAATGAATTTTAAAACTAAACAAAAAAAAATAATCAGAGAACAGAGCCAGCTCATTCAAAACGTGATTGTTCCATGGAAAGAAGTCACTTTTGTTCTCAGGAAGAAGGTCCAACAGTAGCTGGCCTGTGTTATTGTGAGAACATATTGCCATATCTTTCCAGACCAGCCTTTCACCCAGTTTTCCTATCCAGACCATGAACATCTTTCCCTGCAATGGCTGGCTTTATGGATGCATGAGTTATTCTGTTTTTGCAACAGATGTTGCATCACAGGAGACCATCATTCAAAGAGCAATTTTAAATACTTGAATTATGCCACAGAATTATAAATTATTAACATGACTCCATGTTGTGATTCTGATATGTAAAGATGGGAAATGAGGGAGACACATAGAGCAAGGAAATAATTTCAGTGGCTGCATGCCAAAGTTACAAGTCAGAAAGATGCATTTATTATTGAGGAGAAACTATGGTATTAAAATACATTTGATATATTTGATTTTAAAAAAAAAACTTACAGGATCACACTTTCAGAACTTAGTCCTGCAAAAGAATTTCTTTCAATTGTTCGGATATTGATGTTATCTTGAATGTCTCTAAAAAGAAAAAGGAAAAAAGAAATCAGATGTTTTTGACACTAGAGGTTATTTATCCTTCTCATGGTAATCTGGTAAACAAGGTTCTGAGTGTTTTGGTCTGAGGTCAAGCTCATTTTTTAATCATGTGGCTGCAGTAAAGGAGGATGAATTGAACATTTGGAAATGACAGCTTGCAATTTATCTGCAGGGTCATTTCTTCCCATCCATGGACTTGCAGTGATCTCATATCACTGCCATTTGAGGAGTTTCTCAGCTGATTTCCCCATGAAAAGTTCTTTCTAGCAAAAAGGGTTTATCATTGCCATCTCCACAGCTGGTCTTTGTGCAGTTTGGGAAATGTGCTTGCGCATCCTGCCATCTGGCAGCATTGGCCCTTTAAGAAGCTAGAAGAGGAGGCTGCTGAAAAAAATAAAAAAAGACTCTTCCAGGGAACAGGCCCAGCCTGGCAAATCATGGGACATTTACTTGCTAGTTCCTGGCTTTCTTTTGGCTTCTTTGGACACAGTGATCCTGTTCTAGCTGCCTTGGTCTGGCCTCTGACACTGACCTTGAGTCAACCCTCA